AATCATTCATTCTATTGCCACTATTTTTCATTAATAAACTGATTTTCTTTCGTTTTATCATAAAAATAAAATCTTGCATCTATATTTTTCAATTAAGAGATGAGAATGGGTCGACCTGCCCAGATATCCATGTCGTTATTACCCAACCTGGCCCGTCGCGCTTGGTGCAAGCAAGTATGGGTATTGCGATACTCGTCTCTACCCCACTCGTTTTCCATCACTATTTGAGGCAGATCTATTATATTGGATACCGAATTCTAATGCGATTTTCGCATTTTTATTTATTTTGAAACATAGAAATGTGGAAGCATCAACATTAAAGCTGTGAATTGGATTGAAGGTAGTTAGTCAGATAATCGATATTTTTTTATTGTGTACAATTCATTTGGGTCCAACTAGACCCATATATATGGGTGAGTTTACCCAAATCGAACCTAAAACTGTTAAAATATATATGAGCATATTTTGCTTGCGACCCAATACTCATATAAGCGATGACAATTGGATCAAAATACCCCAGAATAAACCAATCGTCATTGCTAATTAAATCCTAGCATTAGTAATGATGAAAGTCAAATTATAACATTTTGCTAAGCCCTAATTAATTAACTAGTGTAAAGATCATCTTCTTTTTTTGGGGCTATAGATGACAATTTTGTTGATTTTCATATAAAGACAAAATGGTGATTATGCTAACAAGTGCATGCCCATCTCCTTTTGTACATAGCTGGTATTGCGTGGACAACGTCACTGAATTATCTTCCTCCATGAAACTGAGCTTCACATACATTCTCTTTGTCCCATAAGCTAACCAAGTGATGTGGCCCAGTTAAGTAATAAAGTCGGCAAATTGGACGCCTTTTTCCTTTATGAAGGTCCGAGGTCGAGGCTTCTTATCAACCTTGACCTATGCGCCCAGGACTGCATTTTGCCTCATAGTATCTTTTGCTCAAATGAGTGTTCCAAGTGTTTGAAGGACTTCTTCCTTCCTGCCAAATTGAAGCATATATATCAGACAAACTAAGCCTCGAATCACAAATCAACTGAAACTTTTACCCTTAATCGGCTATGATTAGATCTAGCCTACCCTAAAAGTAGTAAAAGCATACCTTAAACATATGAGAAATGCTAGACTTATACAAACTACTAACCATATCTTCCGCATCAATATGAGATTTTACTTGGATGGGAACATAAAACTTTCCGTCAAGACTTTGACACAATATATTAAAAGTTCAATAAATCATGTATAAAATTTGATCTTTATTATCATTCCGCTACGATTCATCTACCATGCACTTTCTTAATATTTAATAGTAAAAATATTTTTTAGATAGCTCAACTTTGAAACATATGAAAACGAGTGGCTGATTGACAGCCTAACTTAATTAATTAAAATTTTGTTCTTTGCTCTTTCTTTTTAACTTGATCAACCAAAAAGTACAAGCTAAGCTTGCAAAAGGATGAATTATATTGGAACATTCTAGCGCGCCTTAAGGCTTTCCATACGTATGCAATTTAGCATTGGGTAAATTTCCTCCTTGGATTTAGTAATTAAGTTTAGATATTCAATTTGGTCTAGTATATATTGACATTATCCGACACATGCAGACGATCGACCTAACTCAACTTCAGTTAGTACCTAATTATAATAATTAATAATACCGAGTCAAATTCAAATATAGAGAAGATATATGTACCAACATATTCGTCTTTAAAAAAAAATCAAAATTCGCAACACCATAGCATTCTAACCTTGAGATCAACAATTATATATCTAAAAAGAAACCATGTATATGAAAGAATAACCGACTTAGCTTCAATCATAAACAATAATGGGTAAGATTCAAATAACGATTGTGAGGAAAGCAAAATGATAGTGTTCTTGATTTGTTAACCTGTACCTTGTACGTGATGAGTTATTTTCTGATGATCATCTTCGGTTGGAGTTTGGGAGGCAAGTAGAGGAGGCATATGTAGAAGCAAATTATGGATGGTTGAACTTTTGGGTAACTAGCTAGCTAGCTTTTATACCCTTTTTCATGTTTGATTTATAAGAGGTTGCCTTAGGAACACAATATTCCATTTATAATGGAGAAAATTTTGTTAGGTTTTGAGGGGGAAACAGTGAGTTTGGTGGTTGGGCGGTGGGGATTCTGTGGAGGTGATGCCAGCCACCATTCTGCGAGTAGTTTACTTGCAGGTTTACCATGGAAATGGGTCGATGCGTCAACCCCCGATATTACCAACTTCTTCTTACTCAACTCTCTCTCTCTCTCTGTTACCAACTTCTTCAAACTTGCGAGCCCGTCGTCGGTTTCAGTGGTGGAGCTAGATTGAAGCAAGAAAGGGTTGTAGTTTCCCTTAATTTTGAAAAATTAAGTAAAATTACTTGTAATTTTATCCAAATTTCGGGATTATAATAGTCGGTAAGGATTTGGCTCGCACTACTTTAATTACGATAATTCAAACTCATTCGAATTTCTAACTCCGCACAGGTTGTGCGGCTCCACCCAATTCATAAATGCCATGCAACGTACGGCTCGTTTAGGACTACTTGTCACTGTCGCACGTTACTTACTTCCATCTCTAAATTTTATTTGTCATGTACTACTTGTACTTGACATGCAAAGATGTCACGTCGGCAACAATAGAGGTTTTGGGCCGGGCCTCTGGAGGTCGTCCACCGGATTGGAGTTGGATGGGCCTGTGTTGGAGTTAGGTAAGCACTGAGGTTCGAGGTTGGAGTCGGAGATTTGATCTAAGTGAATATGTATCCCTAAAAATTAATTTCAAGGAAATTAATAATTTTATAATGTCAGCTCAACATTAAATATTAAATGAGTTAGTAGGACATTAAAAAATTGGATTTTTGGGCCTAAAAGGTTGAGCCTCTCTTCCTGGTCTAGGGTGCTGCTGACCGCCCTATGGCCTCGATAGCTGCCAGTCTCTTCCTTTTCACAAGCTCGTTCATAAGAAATGTCGGTCTAAAAGACTAGTCTATCAACAAGACAAGTTTGGTAGCAAGACAATGAGGTATCAAGTTGGGTATCAATTAGGGGAGTCATTCGAAAAACTTAAGTCTCGATACCGAATCGGCAAGACATACTTGGTCTCGGTACCAAATTAAGATACCAAGCCGACAAGACATGCTTGGTATCAGTTATCAAACTTTAAAAAAACTAAGTACGGAAATATGGAACTAAGTTGGAGAGGATTCCAACAAGAACTATGGTATCAAGCTCATAAAGCAAAGAGCCATTCAAAAACTAAATCTTGAATCTGCATGACTTGACAACAGGGTGGCAGGGTATCAAGGCGGCAAGTTACCAGTTTAATGAGGCTCTAAAAAACTAAGTATAGAGACAATACGGGCAGGGTACCTGCCCGGCAATGAGGTGACAAGATGGCAAGTAGGCCGTCAAGGTGGTAACTTAACAAGATCTAAAAAAAATTAAGTACGAAGATCAAGCATACAGTACATATTTAGTGGGCTGACAGGGTACCAAGCTGGCAGGAAAAATCACTGACTTTTCAAAACTAAGTATGAAATATCGGGATGGAGACTGGTAAACTAAGGTACCAATCCGACCAGATAAACTTGCTAACAAGCTGATAAAACAAGCGTGATACCAACAAAGCAAGCTTGGTGATTATTTGTGATATGCTTTTGTAACGTACGTATTTGATATGTTCAAATGATCATTCATTATTGTGATATGTTCGTTTGATGATTCCATTTTATTCATCGTTATATGATTATTATAGATGTGGTAGCGGTGTGATCCAGTGTGTCGTGTTGATGTGGTAGTTATCGTGGTAGTTTCTTATGATGTGTTTATATGCTGACGCTCTATGGCATGTCCATTTGATGACTTCTAGGATATTCTTATGTGACAGCTTTTATATGTAGTCTGATGCGAATGACGGGTTGTTTGTGAGGTTAGAATAGCAACTTGTAACTTGACTTACTTGAGAAATGTTCCGAATGTATCGATAAAATATTACTTGTTTGCAGAATCTCTAAAGTTTCTAATGAACGAACACCAAGTTGTTTAGAAGTTGGTTGATATGGTCCAATATTGATGTTCATCTAAGTTTTATGTTAGATTAGAACTTACTCATCGAGCTTGCTCTTGCCATAATTTTTTCCTGTCAGAGCCAACCCACAAAAGAGAACCTTCCAACCACCTCTAGCTTTGTTTCTTCACTGAAGGCTTGAATTAACGAATATGAACAATAAACTTCGAATATTTTCGGGATTTGGATCTTAAAGTTTCACCTAAGATGTGTTTTTGGGAAGTGTACGTAAGAATTTTCTTTACGGTACTCAAAGGTGATTTGGTAGTTTTAAAGATTTTGTTAATCCTAATTATATTCCAGTCAAAAAGGTTTTGATAGATTCATAGATTGATGGCACTTTGATTGTTATTAATTATCCATAAAGTGAAATTTGTAGCTGTGTAATTGTAATAATCCATAAATATTTTTATATCCAATGTACCAACTCTTACATTTCCGTCCTAACAAATAACAACAGTTTCAGCACATATCAGCTGACCCAAGAATTCCCAACTCAATAATACAGTAGTTGTCTTTATTCAACCTTCCAATACTTTTAATTATGGACGCTAGCTTCCCTAACATGGAAGATTTATTTCTCGTCACCAGTTTGATCACCACGCCATTATTACTTTGGTAGCTGGAGCTTCTTCATCGACATTTCCAATGCTCAGTTGATGCTGCAATCCAATCAACAAAACACAACATAGAAACAAGTTAACCGGTGGTATAATATTCATTACTAAACTTCTTCGGAGTATAATCCTGTTTGTTAAGTTATGATATACGGATATGGACAACTTTCTCAAGTCATATAAGTTGATTTTTGTTTGAGTGACGTGAATTATTGCGACCAACTAGTCTTTGACAAAAAGGAGCAGGATATATTTGTTTGAAAAAGTTCACGAAGCAAGAAAACAGAGTATACAAATATGTACTTACGTCTGGCAGTCAATGGCCTTGGAGATAGGGATGCCAATGTCAACCCCGCATTTGGTCGGGAGGCTCGAAGCGGCGTCGTCCTTCACCGGGTAACGGCCGGCGGCGGCCTTGACACAGCCACAGGCCGCTCGGCGGTCGTCGGCCGTGGCGGTGTTGGCCTTCAAGCTACGCACTCCGTCGCAGCATTTGGGTGCAGGGTCGCCGGCGCCGGTGGTGAGGTAAGGAACGCAAGGTATCAAGTAGGAATCCACTTGCCCGCAGCTGATAATGCCCTCATTTCCTCCTGCAGGTCGGCCCGCAATCGCCAGCTGGATCATGGCCACGGCAATAGCAAAAACTGCAACCATTGATGCTGCGGCTCCCTTCTTCATTTCTAGTTTATTTTTCCTCTTTGTTAAGTAACCGCTCGCTGTATTATATATTTAGCTCTCTCTTAATTTAATGACTGTTCGGCTTGTGTTAGTGGTTGAGAGATATGGAAATGGTGGGAGAGTGATGTGTTTATATATATAGGGGATGTTAAGTGGGTCAATAACATGTCACGTAACAAGATTCGGTTACTCTTTTATTTCTCAGGCTCTGTGGCTCAGGCTGTTTCATCAACAAAAAAGGTTCAGAGATGAGATGACACTACTCGATAGGAATGATGCATGGGGAAGTTGGAAAATTGGGCATCCCAATGTTTGTTCTCATGATCTCATCAACCTTTTCTTTTGCATATATCATCTAATATTGGAATTTACATATATCTTTTGCGTGTTCTCATCATTTTGAAAAGAAAAAAAAAAATTGTACCACCATTATTACCACCCTGCTATCACATGGTATCACTCTATCACATTCATTTTTGCCTAAATTGTGAAATTTTTTTTACATAATGAATGAGTCTCTCGTGATCGTTTGGATGAAGTATTTGAGTGGGTTATTTGGGTTCAAATAACTCGTTTGGTAGTATTTTACTGAAATGAGTTATTTGGGTAGTGAATCATTTGAAATAACTCCTACCCACGTGTTATTTCGAAATAAATCTTTTTTTACCACTCTGCTTTTGCCAAATATACCACATTTGCATGATTCTACCAAACAAGATATACTTTAATCTAATTACCACTGAAATAAACTGAAATATCACATGAATAATTAATGAGTTATTTGACTTTACAAATACCACTTTGACAATTAATCCATCCAAACAATTGTGATCAACAAATTTCAGGGGGAAAATTTCAGGACCAAATATATCACCTTGTACTACACTGGTATAAGGACTAGTGGTAGTGGTGCTGAAAGGTGACAAAATGGCGGTTATTAAATTCCTAGTATCATATATACAACTATTTTACACTATGATATATTCATACCACCTTCATTTTCATACAAGCACGTTTAGTCTTATGTACTACCAAACGTTACCATCATGATATAGACTTGTAATATATGTCTAAATTTTTTTTCCAAAATATATCAAAATGTATATAATTTTTTGTTCCAATCTTAGGCTATAAACAAACATGAACGCCCCTCCCCCAAATCGCCATCTCCTCAAAACCAGTATCATAATCCATAAATTGCTAAATAGACTAACCCTCATAAACTCTTAACCTTTTAATCAAAATCCCCAACTTTAAACAAGGACTCTAACCCTAAAACATTAAACCTAAGCCATTAGCATGTCGGAAAATCTAAAATTTGTTAAGATATATGCCTAAAATTATCGTATCATGTCGCTCACTTTTTTTACTTTGATCGATCAATTTTGCATGCATTTGACCAAAGTTGGGGGAATGTATCTCTAAAAATGAGTGTGTAGTTAACGTGATTTTTTGGGTTGGTACATCTCATTTAGAAGTTAGGTTTCAAGTTGTGGTCAGGTACTATTGAATAGATTCGAACCTGTAAGCTGAATTCAGAGTTAGTGGTGTTGCCACTAAACCAAATTCTTGTTCGTTCCTATAAATTATTAATTAATTCTAAATAAATCAAACTTTGGGGCTTGATTTTATCATCATGATTTTCAGTATCATCATTATTATGTTCAAACTTTTTAATTTTGTGGTCTGACGAGAACTCCCACCAAACTTGAAGTCAGATTTACTTAGATTTCAGCAAAACCCCATCTGTTTTAATGTTTCAATAGTTGTAACTGCTCCATGATATAAGTTCCACATCCAATTGTTAAGGAAACAAATTGACAACTCTGAGTTATTAAAGAGATCCAAGAATGAATCTAATATCATTCTCTTTCATGTTACCAACACCCACGTCAGCACATGTCAGCTGGCGCAAGAATTCCCCAACTCAGTACAGTCGCGTAGTCTTTATTCAGCTTAAAAACTTTAGGAAATAAAGTACATTAATTAATCCATCGCCACACAGTTATTACTTTGCTAGAGCTTCTTCATCGTTCCAATACTCAGTTGATTCTGCAATTCCAATCCACAAACAAAAAAATCATCAAAACGCGAGTAAATTAAACGATTATTCATAATCATGTTCACAAGGAACACATTGACGAAGCAAAAAACAGAGCATACAATATGCAGAGCAGAGTACTTACGTCTGGCAGTCAATAGCCTTGGAGATAGGAATACCAATATCAACCCCGCACTTGGTCGGGAGGCTCGAAGCGGCGTCGTCCTTCACAGGATAACGCCCGGCGGCGGCCTTGACACAGCCACAGGCAGCTCTGCGGTCGTCGGCGGTGGCGGTGTTGGCCTTCAAGCTACGCACTCCGTCGCAGCATTTGGGTGCAGGGTCGCCGGCGCCGGTGGTGAGGTAAGGAACGCAAGGTATCAAGTAGGAATCCACTTGCCCACAGCTAATAATGCCCTCTTCTCCTCCTCCTCCTGCAGGCCGGCCGGCAGTCACCAGCTGAATCATTGCCACGGCAATAACAAAAACTGCAACCATTGATGCTGTGGCTCCCTTCACCATTTTTAGTTTCTCTTTGTCAAGTAAACGGTTCGAGAGATGTGGAAAAAGAGGGTGGAGATGCATTTGTTTATATAGGGCTATTGAGTGGGTCAAGAACATGTCACGTAACAAGATTCAGTTACTCTTTTTAATCTTTCAGGCTGTTTCATTTCATCAACAAAAAGGTTTCAGAGATGAGATGATATGACACTGCTCGATACGTATGATGCGTGGGGAAAATGGAAAATTGGGCATCCCAATGTTTGCTCTCATCAACTTCTCTTCCCCTGTATCATCCAATATCGGAACTGGCTGTCGATTTGTGAAATCGTACTGGAGATTTAACCAATAGTAACGTCGTGATTTAACCGGTAGTATTTCGATAGTTTAGCATTGATAAACTGTTACTATACTGAGGTTGAGATAATGATGTATTCAATCCGAATTGACGTGGATATAGCATTGACAACACTGTACAATTCGTGTGTATACCGAACCGACTTGATTGCTTATAGGTTTTGTGGTCGACCCGATCACAAACCATGACAAAGAGCAGTGTTTTCCTGTGTTTGAAATGGCTAGCTTCATCCTGTTAAAAGGAGAGAACTAATACAACACAAGTGCAGAAATCCACGGCATTGAGTAGACGATGAAGCTTTCAATTCTATTACCAGACCGTCCAGTTCCAACAAGGACATGTCTGTCGCATCAGATATTAGATTACAGAATTACACTTTCATGTCTGCTACCCAGCATTTTGAAAGGAGGGCAAAGTCAGTACAACTCGAATACAGAAGAATTGCAACAACAATCAATCAACGGTAACTTGTCCGACGAGGAAGAAAGAAAGAAATAAATAAAAAACAAAAATTCAACTGTAAAAACCTATTGGCACATATCTAGCCTGAGACCATGGCGTTGTCGATAGCATGAAGTGCCTCATTCGCAAAGAAACGTACGTCTACATCTGGATCCTCACTCAGCTCCACCAAAGCAGGACGAATCGACTTCTCCACCACCTGTGAAATTAACAAGGTTTCAGTAACGTTTTAAGAAAATTAAAAGGCAATCTGTGGCAGAATGGGATATGGGTATGGCTAACTGTACTTACAGACTGATCAACTATTGGAATGAGGGATTGCAGTACTTTTGCCACATTAAACTTGATGTTGGGTACCCTGCACAAATGATTCGATAATCAGAAGACCATGGAAGTGCAAAAGACTATATATTGTGCAATGGTGGGAAATTTCAATCTAATGATAACAGATACCTGTCCTTGGCTGCATTGACAACGGGAGGCAGTAGTTTCGAACATGTAATCTCTGCTCCCATCACAGGAGCAAGAAGAGAAGTGGCCCGAAGAATGGTCATCCTGTATAAGTAGTGCGGGTTGTTGAACATTTCCAGGACCTGTAACAAGGTAAATGCAAATGTCCAATTGCCATGAGGAAATTACCAGCAAAAAAGCACAGCAACAATAGGGAGAGAAGTACAGATACAGTGATGCCTAGGCAGACAGCCAGAGGAGTTACACATGGCGGTAACAATAACAACTTGAATGTATCACTTGTAACTACCAACTAACAATTTAATCCCGTCAAAACAGGAAGGGCACAGTGAAATATGGAAGAAACCAAGTAAACCAGTCTTGTTCTTAACCGAAAAGAGAGGGGGAGACGAACCTGTGGGATTATGTGCTGCATTGCCCACTCAGGACCAAATTCTTCAGCAAGGCGCTTCAAATTATTAGCAGCAGCATCACGAATTGAATAAACCTACAGTAAACCAAGTGGATGGGCATGAGTTAGCTTCAAAAGAAGGAACAATTGCAGACCGTAAGACAATAAATTCAGCCTAACAATGAATCAAATAGGGCCAACTGGCGTATCACAGTGAGAATCAGGATTTCAGCAGATATGCAAGGATTCAATATTAATGACTAAAAATTTAACATTCACGTATCACCTAGCATAATACACAACCAAATAGGAGACTATTGTCTCTAATCTAATAGATGTTAACATGATTGTAAGAATCAATACCTTGTCCTGCAACCACTGCATGCAAAGACTCCCAAGCTTATCATCAAAGAAACCAACACCCAGCTGGCTTGCCAGTAGAGGTATGTACTCTATTATTGCGAGCCTAACCCTCCAGTGTCTATCCTCGGCAAGCTCAACAATTGCTGGTAATAGAGACTGTGACAGAAGATCAATTCCAATAACCTACAAACACACCACATGATGTCAATGCATTAAGATAAAATGCCGACATTTCAACAAATGCCGAAGAGAGACAGAACACAAGCAGATATCAACTCCAGATCTGATAAACAGAAGAAAAGTATCTAACAGTCAATAACTGAGCAGGCAAATTATGTCGAACAATTGCATCTTAAATAAACCAAATGATATTGACTCGTCTCAGTGCAACATAGTAACTGCTAGAAGGATGATACACCGGGGGGAAAAAGGTATACTAGACTGATTATCATATTATAGTTTGTAACGGAAAGCGGAAGCAATCTATCAGAACCAAGTGAATAAATCTACTACTATTTTGATGACTAAGCAAATGGATCAAGGGTAAAGATTCATGGGGGCACAATCATATGACAATGAGTGAAACGAACCTGATTAACTTGATCAAGCTTGCTTATAATGTTGAGTCGCACATCGGGAAATTCATCTTTCAAAAGGGAAAGAAAAATCGGAAGAAGCTGCTCTATAGTGGCATCCTGTGATGATAAACAAAATGAACTTGATGATTGATTACATTCAAATTACAAAAGATTAGTTCATCTGAAACCAGGAGTAAGAATAGCACATTCAAGTAAATAGCATTATAAAAATATCAAGGCCAAATCAGCAAGTCTTTTCAGTGTAATGTATCAATGCATATTGGTCCATAATATAATCCACCGAGAAACCTTTAGAAAAAAGAGCTTGAAAGTGAAGCGGACACAACTAGGAACAAAATCTGTGCGAGTCAAACATCTCACAACACCACTGAGCTAGATAGAGAACGTATTTGCTCCAAGAACTGGAAAAACAACCATACAAAAATCCACATCTGCAACCATGCAGAAAATATCATAACCAAATTGTTCTAACCAAAAATCATAGCTACATTATTACCTTCCCCAACACAGGGGCCATTCCCATTATCACTGAAGCCAAAGCAGAACGGACGTGCTGGGAAGAATCTGAGGACAGTTCCTAATGGGCAGAGGAAGAAGATATTGTCAAAACAATGAATAGAAAGAAGTTCGGAGTTAAAAAAGGAGAAGTTTTACTTTTCACAATGATACCTTCACACAAGGAAGAATGTGCTGAACTGCGAGTTCAGGGTTCAAGATGCGACAGAACTTGGTTACTTTGCCAGCAGCAGCTATACGCACTTCCGCCTCATTATCACGGAGTAACCGAACATATGCTGGTACCAAGTCCGTCCTTAGAAATAAAATAAAAAACATATATATAAGATACACACAGAGAAAAAAAGTACCTGAAGCAAAAAAACACATTAGTCCAAAAAGGAAAATATCGTGGCCATGCGGTCATCTCAAGTTAGAAAAATACTTGGTAGGCTCAGGCCCCACAGCTTCACAAAGTTCATACAATTGATTTGCAACCATGTAGCGAACACGCCAAGATTTATCCTGCATGTAGAGATAATGATATGAGCAAGTGTTAACACAAACAAAGAAGAGTATGAGCATAAATAGACTACGCAAAACTGAGAATATAGTTCATATTAGCATATATTACTAAGCTCTAATCATAGTTGCAATCTACGTTTCACAAATATCCAACAAAACAATGAGATTTAATTGAAACAAAAACAAAGCAGTAGTAAACTATGAGATCCTCGCAAGCTACTAGGAGTAGGAACCCAATTGATTTCATCGGCTTAAAGTCTTGAATATATTAATTCTCTACATCTCGTCATTTTCTAGCCAAAGATTTCCAATTTCTGGACAATAGAACAAGTATGAAGAAGTTAAAAAGACAAAGTCAATTTAAGTTGATGTTTGTCCTCTCCCTCAAGCGTTTTATTTTTCTGTGGGACTCTGCCTTAAGTGCTGGTGGTACTAATCATGACACAAAGATTTATAACAACATTCTAAGCTTATTCAACAAATAAATAGATCAAAACATCAGTTACATCACCAATCATGCCACTATACCAATTCGAGTTACGAAGTACAAGTCAATTCAGGTTGATGTTTCTAGTCCTTAGCGGCCTCAAGTGTAGCTAGTCCTAGTCAAGACACTTGGAACAACTATGTATGCTTGCTCAGCGAATGGAGAAATCAAAACATCAGTTACATCACCACTAATGCCACTATATCCATCATCAATGTAGTCACAAAATATAAAATCAATAGATGGGGTACATACCTGTGAAAAATTCACAATAACAGGGAGAACATGTGCAATACAATCCTGGGGCTCCAACAGTTTGCCAAGAGCAGCACAGCTCTCAACGGCCAACAAACGAACAGAATCTTGATCTGAGAGTAATCATTGTTATCATAATTAAATCAGAGATCATCAACACTGAGCTTAACAAAGTGTGGGGAGCATACCACGAATTTTCTACAGTCGTCAAAGTTATTAGTTGTTTGTACCCAGGCCGGCAGGCAAAAGAGACTAACAAGTATCTACATAGCATAAGGTAAATTACCATCTTGGGTAAGATCCTCAAACATTGACATGATGTCAGTCTTCAAATGTGCTGCTTCAACAGTTGCAGCAAATTTTCCTAGATTGGTTGCAGCCGCCCTTCTGACCATTGGCATGTCATCTTGACAGAGCTGACTATATATTGAACGTAATTCAGCCTTTACCGTATCAGGTGCACTAGGATAAGCAATATGAAATAGCCCACAAGACGAAACACGAGCAGTAAACCATTCTCCAGCTGCCAATCTCTGAAAAAGAAACCATAAAAAGTAACTACAATGGTAACTGAAATACAATGCTGACAATGTGAGTTGTACATAACTGCATATCAACCAAGAAAAACAGTTAATTTATCGGAACCAAGTCAAAAACACAACTCAATATATCCAAAACTTAACAACCTCCCGCTAAAAGGGAGAAATACACCAAGCTTTTCAGATATACAAGATCGACATAATGAAATGAAGTCAAGGGGAAATATCTGTAGCTAATATCTAAACATTCAAAATAAATGCAGCAGCACATATCTGAGAAAATTAGGAGCTAAGATTGACAAGAATCTGCTCTGGTCTAAACTTTCTTCTGAGTTCTTCTATCTTAATGTCAGAGTAAATTTAACTTACGAAATATAAGTACCAAACCCAGCACAGTGTAGACAAGCATTGCTCTTTGTTAATAGCCCAATAAAAGTACAATCACTTAAGAAAGAAGAACAGAAGCAAGAAGCACAAGACAGAAGTTGGAAAGTTAAGGCAAAACCAAGCAGCCAAGTAACTACAAACTTATTAGAAAACAATCACTATCCTCAACAGAAGAAGCAATAAAGACAAGAAGGAATATACAACTAATGAAACAGCAGTCAACTGTGTGATCAATCAACCTTTTCAAAAATCTCGTTCTCACCTTGACAAGAGGAATGAACCAATCAACCAAATCACTTTCCCTCATTTGAGATCCAATCCTACACAACGACTCCACAGCTTTGTCTCTTACACATGTCTCCTCAACAGTGCATAGTGTCTCCAAAGGTGGCAGCAAGACATGGGCATGCTCCACTCCACCAACATAAGGAATAAACACTCCCAGCTCTTCAGCCATTGCAAGGAGAACCTCGTCGTCATCATCATTGTTTTCACTCAGGAAAGGAATCAACTCCTTACGGGTTCGCTCCTCGCCAAGAGCACGTGCAATTGTTGACAATCTACGGATTGAATTCAGTCGTAACTGGATGTCATCATTCTTCAGCTCGTCTATGAGGACGGCGATGGGGTATAATGGTTCATCAACCATGGCCATTGTATCTCCAATTTAGATTGAAAGAAACTACAATGCAAGAGTACAGAAATCAACAACGATTACTAAGATACCAGACTTTTTACAAAAAAGATTACATTTTTCTACCTATCTAGCTACCAAGAACAAAGAAGTCACAAACAACCAGCCCGGTACCCTGTATCAGGTTAACAAACTAGGTAAGAAGTATGCATGTCTTAACTCAAAAATCCCATCGATTCCCTAATCCCTACCATTATCTCGCCAAAATCTAGGGATCCACGAAAAAGATACAAATCTAAATCCAAGTCCAGAAATTGAAAGAATGGACAGATGAGACGGGGGAAAAGGAAGAAAATAAACTGGGCAAGAAAGCTCGCAACTTAAAATGACAGTAACATCAATCGAAAACCAAGAAATTCGAATCTTGCTCCGCTTTTACATAATTTTCTAGGAAGCAAATAGAGGAATTGGAAAGCTTTAGAGTGACCTAAGAGACGGCCACTGACCGGGGAGCATATGAATCCAAAAAAGAAGAAAGGTTCGCCGACCTTACCGATCCAAAAGAGTCGCCGCCGGCCACCTTGCCGTTTACAGAAAGCTAGCGCGAGACAAGGAGGATTTATGAATCTCTTCTGCTCGGTTTTCTTTTTCCCCTTTACAATTTGGAAATCTCCGACCCTTCTATTCTATTTCCTATTTTGTTTCTTGTTCACAGCTTTCATTTCCTTTTTCTTTGAATTTTCCACAGTTAAGTCAGACTGGAGCGAGCCCATTTTCTTTAAGCCCGAAAATTAAATAATAGTGGGCCATCGACTGGCCCATTTCTTTTTCGGTAATTTGGCCCATTTTGGATTCAACATTAACCGCCCACTCTTTCTCCGACCAAACAAGAAACTCACTGGATTGAATGCTATTATGTTAAGGCCAAGTTGAATGCTAGTCTCCAAATTTGGAGATCATCCCATTTTTTTTCTATAATGTTACATTCTCCAAATTTAGAGGGGTTTTTTTTTAAATTTTTTCATTACCTAAAAATATACTTATCATCCTTTTAATCAATTTTTTATGTTAATTTTTGTATAATTCGTGATCATTTTTAAATACAAATTTTCTCATAATTTTTTTTGTTAATTTCGAGATCAAATATTTTTGGCAAAAAATGTTTGCCCCAATTTTTCTTTACACACAACACTTGAAAAGTATTAATCTAATTTGGAGATCATCCCCATTTTTTCCCCTTTTTTGCATTAATTTTACATTCTCCAAATTTAGAGATTTTTTTTAATTTTTTCATTACTTAAAAATATACTTGTTGATGCAAATTGCCAAGCTTAGAGCAGCCTGCTTCAATATGTTAAAGGTCCGGAGAGCGCTAATTTCCCAAAGCCTTTAACCACCTCCAGCTCCGTGCAAATACCTAGAAAAAAAGGTCCCATCGGGGGGTCCTAGTTGGAACCTCCTCCGACACTCAAATTAGTAACCTGAATGGAACAAAATAAATACGATGATGTTAGACCTGGTTCGGTCCCACGGTCGTAATTGAGCGTCGTCGGCTATTTAGTGTCGCCCGGTGGAGACTATCCACGATTCCATGGCTTAGTCCGCCAAATTGAGGGCGTGTTGAGTGTTTAGAGATTTAACACGTTTTGAGAGATTGAGAGGAGAGAGAAAACATTTTTTAGTGAGAGAAAGTAGAGAGAGTGTGTATTGTGTGTGAGTTGCGTTGTGTGAAGTAGTCGTAAGCGAGTTATGTTGGGTGTGTGTGTTACTTGTTGTTGTTTAGAAAGGGGGAGGGGTGCTCCCTATTTATAGGGAAAAGTCATAGTTAAATTCCTCGACTTACGTTAACATTCACCAAAATTCTCCATTATTCTCCTATACTCATTAATATTCTGCGCTATACCTTAACATTCTCCGTCATACATTAATATTCCTCACCAATTATGGTATATGAGAAAGTTCAAGTGTGTATGAGAAATCATGAGAAAGTGTAAGTATGTAATAGAGAATAAATGAAAATAAATGAGTGATTATGGAACATAGAAAATTGGTGAATGGTTTTAGTTCTCTATTCTACGTATGCATGAGAATGAGATGCTTATGTGGGAAATACGTGCAATATGTAAGAAAAGAAAACAAAGGGTAGCATGTACATATGTGAATGTTGCATGTTCATGCATGGTTATGCTGTGGGAAGTAAGAAAATGAAAGAAAGAGGAAGAAGTGGAGTAAATAGGATGCTCCACGGGAGAGTATCTTGTTTCAGCATCTAATAGGGTCTTACAAGTGTAGTAAATAGGATGCTCTGTATTGTCTGTATCTCGGCGAACGAGTACAACACTCACAGCCTTGGAGGAGACAGCAAAGTACAAGTACAATGTCTCGTTGTTGACTGGAGATGAGAGTATTGGGGGATTCACCAAGTACTCCTTAAGTTCTGTGAAAGCTTTCTCACATTCAGGAGTCCACTGAAAGGTTTTCCTAGCTCCTTTTAGGGTGTTGAAGAAAGGGGCACACCGATCCCCAACTCGTGAAATGAATTGATTGAGTGACGCAATCCTTCCTGTTAGAACTTGTACTTCTTTATGCTTTGTAGGTGATGTCATCTGGAGAATCGCTTCAATTTGCCTAGGTTTAACCTCGATTCCACGTTTTGTCACCATGAATCCTAGAAACTTCCCTGCAGTGGCCCCGAAGACGCACTTCTTTGGAATAAGGCGCAAGTTGTATCCTCGTAAGGTATCAAAAGTCTCGTGCAGATCTTCTAAATGTGCATGTGTCTCTGCACTTTTGATTAGGATGTCATCCACATAGGCTTCAACATTTTGACCTAGTTGTCGGGCAAAGACTCGATCCACCATAGGTTGATAGGTAGCTCTAGCATTTTTAGGCCGAATGGCATCACCTTGTAGCAATAATTTCCAACCGGAGTCATGAAAGCAGTATATTTTTGGTCGTCCTTCTTTAGTGGGATCTATTGGTACCCTGAGAACATATAAAAAAAAAAGAGAGATGGCGATGACCAGCGGTCGCATCAATAAGCAGATCAATCTTGGGCAGGGAATACGCGTCCTTCGGGCAAGCCTTGTTGAGATCGGTGAAGTCAACACACATTATCCACTGGCCGTTGCCCTTTTTAACCATGACCACATTAGCCAACCATGTTGGGTAGAGAACCTCGCTAATGAAGCCGGCTTGCCCTAGCTTGATTACCTCCACTGCTATGGCCTGGTGACGTTCCCATGCAAAGTTCCTTCTTTTTTGCCGGATGGGCTTGCTACCTGGGATAATCCCTAGTGTATGCTCGACAACTTTTGAATCGAGACCAGGCATATCCTCAGGTCCTTGAGCAAAGAGCTCTTTGTACTCGATCATCAAACTGAGAAGTTGTGGAGATAATTTTTAAGCCATGCCATGGATACACGAACGGTTTGCCCTTCTTCTAATGTATGTTTTACATCGGGGTCAATGGGAACGGGACGAGCGACCTCGTCTTTGGCTTCCATCGTGGCCACAAAGCTATCTTTAAGGGAGAACTCACAACACTGTCGTGCAAGAGCTTGATCTCCCTTCACACACCCGACTCCAACAATAGTTGGGAACTTCAATTTTAAAAGCAGAGTTGAGGGTATAGCCCGAACTTGATGTAGAAAAGGGCGTCCGAGAATACAGCTGTATGCATAAGGGCAGTCAATAACATGGAAGTTGATTGTGGTCTCTACGGTTTGTTGTTCATTGCCAATACGAACTTGGAGGGGGAGAATCCCAAGAACTGGACTTGATTTCCGGAGAAGCCCACAAGGTAAATGCTAGGAGGGTGACATTTATTTAGTTGAAGACCCATGAACTTGAAAGTTGGGTAGAATAAAAGACTGTAGAGCTTCCTCCATCGATGAGGACTCGTTGCACAGAATAATTTGAAATTACTGCCTTAATGACTAAGGCATCATCATGAGGGTACTCGTTATCTTCAAGATCCCTATCGTCGAAAGATATGAGAATTTGTGTGGTAGAAGCGGAACCGACCAACCTTGGGGCACCGGTTGAGCGAGAACCAACTTGTTCGGATAATTTGACCCCGCCATGAATGACAGGAACATTTCCCAAAACCGATCCACTTCCCTGTGGTGCTTTTCCTTTGTCTATTATTGGAGGTGAAGGGAGAATAGGGGGTCGGACATTCTTTACAAAGTCTCGAAGATAGCCTCTTTGGATAAGTCCTTCAATAGAGTGCTTGAGGGTGTAACAACTTTCTGTACCATGTCATGTACAGCGGTGGAATTCGCAGTAGAATTGTTGGCACTTTCCTGAAACCCTCATAACTAGAGGAGGGTGAGTAATGGGAATTTTCTTCTCTCAAATGACCTGAAGAATGGCTTGTCTAGAGCGATTAAGAGGAGTATAGCTTTGTTGTAACTGGGTGGCTTCACTTCTAGAATTTTGGGAAGAGTTGCGGTCCTCGGGTGTAGGAACTTGACATTGTCGGCGAGAATCCTGGGATGAAGTCTCTAGTTTTCTTTTGGATCCTGCCCGAATAACCTCTTGAAGTGCCTCTTCGAGATCAATATATTTTGAAACTCGCTCTTGAAGCTCCATAGTGCTGTGGGGAGCCCGTTTTGCAAGAGAAGCATATAGATCAGTGTTGATAGTCCCTCACATCAGGAAATTGGTGGCAATCTCCGTGGAGATGGATGTAAGTCCGATGGCGATGTTACTATATCGAGTACAGTATGCCTGATGCTGAGGAGTTGATGGATGCTGATAGGCTATTTTTTCTATGCGTAGAATTTGCATATGAAGAGAGTGGCAAATTCGAAGAAGCTGGAGATAATACCATCTTGTATTTGAGTACCATCGTCGGGTATATTTTGCACATTGTTGCATCAGATGCTCCGATTAATGGCATTAGGATTTGAAAAGAGCAAAGGTGGTCTTTTGGATCTGTTGTGCCATAATACTCTGGCAAGCTTGGTAAATGGAGATTTGGTGGGTAGGGCTCATCTTGCATGATTCTGGATAGATGTCCTCCTACTCCGGTTGAAGATACAACTCCATGTCCTTGGGATGGTTCGAGTAGGTTGGCTGAGAGACTCAGGGAGGTTAATCCAACAGGTGCTGATGTCGCATTTGGTGGATCATTGATCGAGCCATGGGCAATAACTCTCTCCTAGTTGTTTGGTGTCGATACTCTGGAGGAACCAGAAGCATTAATATGGGAGGCCTCTCTGGCTCTGAGTTGAGCTCTGAGTCGCTCAATCTCAGCCTGCATCTCACGTACTTGTGCCGGAGCAGGGGTGAGAATTCCTTCTGGTGCCGGAATAGAGGTAGCCGACTAGCCTGTGCAAGTGGCACCACTCGAGGCTCTGTATTTTGACTCGGTGCATCGCTGAGTGGTGAACGGGGGGTTGGGTTGCCCCCAGTCTCGATTACTCTTAAAGAGCGACGCACTGCTTCAATGGTAGGAATACTAGGAGAACCTTGGGTATTCATCACAGCTTGGTGGTGGTTTGTTAAAAATTTGGAAATATTCTTCTCAGTGGGCGCCAATTGTTGATGCCAAGCGTAGAGCAGCCTACTTCAATATGTTTGGAACAAAATAAATACGATGACGTTAGACCTGGTTCGGACCCACGGTCGTAATTGAGCGCCGTCGGCTATTTAGTGCCGCCCGGTGGAGACTATCCACGATTCCATGGCTTAGTCCGCTAAATTGAGGGCGTGTTGAGTGTTTAGAGATTTAACACGTT